TCACAACACCTGTCCCATCAACCAGGAATCAGAATCAGAAATACTTTAATAATCCCAGGGAGAAATTACTTTTGTTACATTACTCCATCTGTAATAGAGCGACTATAGGAGCATTTGATGTAACAATTTCTATAATCAGGGGTCCCTGCTCCATCTCGCCATCAGTTTGGGGTTCATTGGCCTGGAAAACTTTGAAGACCCCTGTTTTAGGTAAATATAAAAATCACAGGCATGTAAAAAAAAAATAGCTTAATCCATTCAAATACTGCAAACATTTCATTTTTCAACCCATTTATGGCTGGGTTCAAAACTAAAAGCTCCTCTGAACTAGATTTTATTTTCCACCAGCTATAATTTGTTTCCAGTTCTTTCCACTAGAGGGCGCCTCCAGCCACAAATTCGGGTTCTAATCCAGAGAGAGGTGGCAGGGTTCTCCAAGGCCATAACCATTACTTGCCAAGCATCAGTTTTCCAAAAGGGGGCAATATAGCACTGTGTTCACACCTCGATCACATGCTGGGTAATTAGGCATGAAAAGCGGTTTTGACACGCATCAGGAGCTGACATCTCAGATTAATGAATGACAACAGAAACTGGGACTTTGGTTCAACTTGCAGTTTGTAGATTTATTTTAAAGCAACTTCTTTTGTAAAATATAAATACAAATTATGGGATATTTTAATTACAAAGTTAAAACAAAACAAAAAATGAACACTCCAAAGAAAAAAAAAATTAAAGTACTGCAGTATCCTCCCCGTTATATACAAGCTCTGTGCCACAGGGGAGGGGGGAGGGGAATATCAACATGGTCTTAAAACTTTATTATACAAACAGTTTTGCAGCTTCTAACGTTTAAATTACAGCCTGAACAGAAAGAAACATCTTAAAGAGAGGAAAAAAATACAACAAAGTAGCCCCTGAGGCTCAAACAAGCACTAAAGTTTGAGGAGAACTAGGGGAGAAAAAAAATGGACATCATGTGCTTCCTATAAACACAAATATCAGACCGAACAGCACAGCCTCAGAACTATTCTGTACAACATGCACAGTGTGCTGTATGCTCACACACACCGTCCAGCCGCTTAGAGCGCGACTGCTCCATAAAAAAAAAAAAAAGCTTTCAGAGGTGCCAAGAGCAACATCTCAAAGAGAAAACGCTCTCCATATCATATATATACTGTATATATTTATTTATACATATATTAATTTATAAAAATAAGACCATTATTAAGTCTCTTGAGTCAGAAATGTGTTGATCCTTAGTTAATGGAGGGAAAGGTTTCCACAGCCCAGCTAACCAGTGGGTCAGTCTGTCAGTACACCAGTGCTGGTCCAGAGCCGAGGGAACTAAGGGTCACGCTAAGGCATATCTGTAACCTCTGATTGGTTCAACAGCAAACTCCACTTAGTGAGGAAAACGGTCAGGATGAGCCCAGCTTGCCCGCCGCCTTGATTTTGTCTTTGAGTTTGTCCGCTTGGTGGTCCCAGCGGTCGTCCAGACACTCCAGTGTTGAGCCCAGCAGAGCAGCCAGCTCCGCGCTGTCTTCAACCAAGTCCAACAGGTCCTTGCTGTCCGGCTGGAAGCCCTCCAACTCCTCCGGGCAGGAAAACAGCTGCGACAGGGACGCCTGCCTGTAGAACTCCGCCTCTGCCACAGTCACCACCTCCATGTGGGGGAAGGCTTGTCGGAAGGCGCGGGCGGACATGCGCAGCCGGCGGAGCACATCTGACAGCAGCAGCCAGTTTCTAGGTCTGAAAGGAAAGGAGATGATGGATGAGGGCAGGCAGAGACAATAGGAATAATTTGCTTTATCTGCTTTGGAGATCTAAGCTCACCCCTGGGAGAGGGACACCTGGATGTTGTAACATGGCAGCAGAGGTCGATCAGAGAATTCAAATTCAAACACCTCCCTTCTCTCATCCTCGTCCTCGTCGTCTGGACCTGGAGGGTCTGCCAGGATGTTGTAAACGCCGCCCTCTTCGCCTGATTCTGAAACAAATAAAATGTTGAATGAACAAAACGAACGATTCCACTTCAACACCTTTTCTTCTTCAAGGCTAGTTTTCTGGTGACATTTTCAGCTAAATTAAAGATGGTGATCACGTCCAACTCTTTGGTTCTTGACTGAAGCAAAACTAAAGTTAAATTAGTGGGAGGCTAGTAAACATCCAACTGTTTGATCATTTCCAGCATTGCGTTTTAAGAATCTGTTGACATTTTTTAATTCTTTATTATATTTTCTGTTGATTTTAAATCCTCTATTGTAGTAAACACCATTGTATTGTTTGGAAGTAATATTTAAACCATGTTAAATATTATTGTGTCCCGCATTGCTAACATACAAATTCATGAATAAAATCTTCTGAAGCTTGAATTTAGTTTGAAGGAAATTGAACTTGTTAGATGGTTTTATAGGATAATCCCTGTTAAATAATATAAGTCAAACAAATTCCCATTGTTCTGCTCCAAAAAAATCGAGTCAGCGTCAAATAAGTTTGTATCTAAGAGATTCATATAAATTGGCTATAGCTAGTAACCTAAGAACTGTGTTGAGTTTGACGTTATTAATCGTTATTAATCTGGGATGGCTGCCGTTCAGTCTGTTTGCGATAAGGAGGGACGATTAGTACAATACTTTGAGCTGATTGGGTGACATGCCAGCTATTATCCGCCTTCCATAATACGCTTTCAGCCAATCGTAGTAGCGAATCGTGACATTTCAGATCACAATAGTATTTGTCTGCAGCTTTTTGAGCAACTAACAGAGTAA